ACCCGGCGGACGTGCCGGCGGCGGCCGCGCCGCGCGTGCCGGCGCTGCTGGCGCAGTGGCGAAGCTGGCGCAATGGCAGCCGCCTGCCGGACCTGGCCAAGGCCGAGGGACATCTGGCCGCTCTCTGTCCGGGCGGTGTGCTGCTGGCGGTCGCCGGCGAGCGGGTTGAGGTGGCGCGGCGCCTGGCGGGTGCGGCGCCCGAGGCCGACCTGGCCGCGCTCGACTGGATGCGCGGCCTGGCCCGGCAAGCCGCGCGCGAGGGCTTGCCCCAGCACGAGGTCGACCCCGAGGCGAACCTGGGGCTGCTGGCGCTGCCCTTCGCACTGGACGAGAGCGATGCCGCACGGCCGCGCCAGGGGGAGGCCGGCGCCGTGCTCTGCCGGCTCTATCGCCTGGAGCGGCCCGCCGAGCTTGCGCGCGGCGGCTTTCTGTCCGGCGTGTTCCGGCGCTTCGCCGGGGCCTGAAGCGGAGTCTGAGCCGCGCGCACAGCCGGGCCCCCGGCCGGCGGGGCCGGTCAGGCGAAGCTGCTGATCAGCAGCACGAGGCCGAGGGCGCTCAGGCCGACCACGGAGATGACCAGGGCGTTGGCGACCACCAGCGAGCGCGGCCAGTTCGCGCCGCCCGCCTTCTTGCGGGCGACGGCGAAGGCGACGATGAGGCCGGCAAGCAGCAGCGTGCCGCCCGACTCCAGAAACACGATGATGTCCACGTCAACGTCCCCCCGGTGGGTTCTTCTTGCTTGGCGGCGGCGATCATGCGGCCTCGCGGGCTCGCGCGCAATGGGCCCGCGCGCAATGGGGCGGCGGCTCAGCGCGGCGCTTGCAGCAGGTCGCGGAACAGCGAGAGGGTGCGTGCGACCCCGGCGGCCTCGGTGAACTCGCGCAGGTAGCGCGTCCGCCCGGCCGCGGCCAGACGGTGGCCCAGGGCGGGGTCCGCGAGCACGCGGGCCAGCGCCGCGCGCAGAGCCTCGACCGAGCCGACCGGCACAAGCAGCCCGTCCTCCTCCGGCCGGATGAAGCCGGCCGGCCCGTCGGCGGCGGCGGCGACCAGCGGCTTGCCGTGGGCCCAGGCCTCGAGAATCACCGTGCCGAAGCCCTCCTGCCGCGAGGGGAAGACGACCAGGTCGCTGGCGCCGAGCAGGGCGCTGCGATCGTCCCGCCAGCCGAGGAAGCGCACCCGCTCGGTCAGGCCGGCGGCGGCGGCTTGGGCCTCCAGCTCGGCGCGCTGCGGCCCTTCGCCGGCCAGCCAGAGGTAGACGCCGGGCAGCGCCTCCAGCGCGCGCAGCAGCAGGTCCAGCCCCTTGTTCGGGTGCAGCCGCGCCAGGCTGAGCAGCACCGGGGCCTGCGCCGGGGTGTCGAGCGCGGCGCGGGAGACCGGCGGCTGCGCCTGCACCTCGGTGAAGTTGGGCAGGAAGTGCACCCGCTCGACCGGCCAGCCGAATCCGACCATGCGCTCGACCAGCTTCGGGGTGATGCAGGCCAGGTGGTCGCAGGTCCGGAAGTACCGGGGCTTGTAGTAGCCGCCGATTCGCCCGACGGTGAGGTAGGGGCCGCGCGGCATGCGCGCGCTGGCCCGCTCCATCCAGGTCAGGCAGAGGTCGGGCCGGAAGCGCGCGGCGACCCGCCGCAACCGCCAGGGCGAGACCAGGTCCAGCGGGCCGCCCAGCCGCAGCGGCGTGATCGGCACGCCGGCGGCGCGCAGCGCGCCCAGCCGCTCGGGGTGGGGGCGAATCGCCGCCTCCTGCACCACTCCGGCCCGCTGCAGCGCCAGGGTCAGGGTCACGAAGAAGGTCTCGGCGCCGCCGTGGCGGGCGCCGGCCATGACCTGCAGAACCCGCAGGGGACGCTCCTCGCGCGGGTGGCGCGCCAGCTCGGTCACCGCCGCCGGCTCCCGTCGCGTCCGCCGGCCTCGTCTTCGTCGTCCGGTTTGTCGTCCGGGGCGGGCTCCTCCGCGCGACTCGGCGCACGGAAGACGCTCTGGTCGTGATGCGCGTCGTCGTGGCCGCGCCGGGCGGAGTAGAACACCAGCGCCATCAGGCCGCCGCCCAGGGCGACGGTCAGGAGCGAGCCGAGCCCCAGCATCAGCCAGCCGAACCAGCCGAGCGAGACCTCGCCCAGGTCGATCCAGGTGACCACCGCGAAGTAGGAGGACAGGGCCAGGATGCCGAACAGGCCGGCGCCGATCAGAAGGTTTCGCATCACGCGCGGACTATAGGCACAGGCGTTTGCCCGCTCCAGCGCCGGGGGCGGAGGGAACTGTGAAAATTTCCCGCACAGGACCCTTGTGCGGTGCGGGCGAACGCGCTAGATAGCGCATCTCGTTCGGCCGGGGCGGCACCCGCACCGGTTCGGACGCCTCGGCAGTCCGGCTTCGGGCTGTTTGCAGGACCCGCGCGGCTGTGGCGGAATTGGTAGACG